CTACCTCTGGCATATGGGGCCGGTGCCCTACCCTTTTGAGCCACAGGTGCCACCCATGTTTCCTTAATTCTTAAAAAAATCTCCTTTTGTAAAATTCCTTTATCATCTTTATAATAAGTATTTCCACACAGTAATCTAGTTTCTACTATAAAAAATTTTTAGGAAATTTAACCAAAATATATTTCACTTTTTTTCTTCATGGAGACAGAATCTCCCTGTGTCACTCAGGGTGGAGTGCTGTGGCATTAGCTTAGCCCACAGCAACCCCCATGTCCAGGACTCAAGTGATCTTCTTGCCTCAGCCTCTTGAACAGATGGCAACATAGTCCCCACCATGTGACCCACCAGACTAATTTTTCTATTTTTAGTAGAGATAGGGTCTTGTACTTTTTCAGACCAGTTCTGAACTCCTGTGCTTAAGTGAGTCCCCCACCTCCACCTTCCAAAATGCTAGGATTACAGGTGTGGGCTACCACATACTATACAATGTAACTTCTGGGGCAACCAAGAAAGGAATGAAGTATGTGATTAACATGGTCTGTCCTAACCAACTTGAGTGATTTCAGGAGAAAATTCTGTTACCTTAAAAAGTCAAACTGCATCATGTGATATTTGAATATTAACACCTCTGTACCTCTGTCTTCTCTTTTCCTCTTCTGCTCATCTGGGCAGCTAACAGCAATGTCTGAGTGCTCCCTCCTTTGGGACCAGGTATAGGTTTAAATCACACGTGGGTACCTCACCTGCACCCCAACCATAAACTTCATAACACCCCATACATGACAGCTCCTCTCAAGCCATGTGTATACCTGCAGGTGGGGAGAAACCTCAGAAACCTCACTGTGTAATACAAATTCTCACACCTCTTCCGTGCACATCACCACTGTCAATATCTCAACCAAAGGTTAGGTGCACGTGAACAACCACAATCCAGGGAAATGAAAAGTAAAAGCTGGTTACAGAGTTACAAGAGTGAATATAGGTGGTTCCTAGTTAATCCAGCAAAATGAAGCTCCATTTCAGTGCTGATTCCACACAGGAACTGCATAAGGGATAATGTTTAAAAATTATGTCAGGGCGGCAGCTGTGGCTCAAATGAGTGAGGTGCCGGTCCCATATGCCAGAGGTGGCGGGTTCAAACCCAACCTTGGCCAAAAAAAAAAAAAAAGAATTTGTAAAAATTATGTCATGGAGTCCTGCAAGGACAAAGGGAAGCAGAGTTATGTTTATTATTATTGCCCAGACAGTCCTTTATTTCATCATAACTTCCATATTAGGATATGTGCATGTTTCCTTAAGGGGCATACTTGGCACAGAAGAGAAGCGTGTAGAAATATTATCATACACAGCATGTTCACCCACAGGATGCATGTTTCAGGGTCTAAGAGTCTGAAGTCATATCTCTGCAATTTTCACTGGACTGATAGACGTATCCTAGGGTGAGCATAGAGACAATAACTTACGTACTGAGAACGATGATGTTGGAGCAATCATACCTACCTAAGTGCATGTACACAAAAGAATCCGCTCCTTGATTTCACCACAAAATGTGTTCTAGGTACCTCAACCAACAGTGCCTCATGCGGTGATTTTCAAATAATGTGCCTTGGTGCACTGATGTGCCCTGAGAGGACCTCAGGTATGCCTCAAAAATTGTTAAAGAGCATTAATGAAATGATGTAGGAAAGACATTCATAGCACAATAAGTATATTCTTTTTCTTTATTCAAGTGTGCCCCCAGAAGTTTAACTATAGTTTCAAGTGTGCTGTGATATAAAAAACCATTAAAAAGGGGCAGCCGTGACTCCATTATTTTTCTCTTCTTTTTAGATTAGTAATAATAGTTATAAAAAGGAAGAACAAAGAGCTGAGGGAAAAAATAAAGGGCAAAGAGGGGGGCAGGGGCCGCAAGAAGCTCCACAGCAGGCACAGGCCATAAATCAGGTAAACAGCCCAGGTAGCAACGACCAATCAGAAGTTCACACAGTACTAACCCCGGCAAAGACTCCAACCACAGAAAGACAGTTAACTTATCAAAATCCCAGGCCTCCCCAAAGACCAATAGGTAAACAGACACTAACTTCTTCCTCAGCCACCTTCCTTAGCATTTTATTGCAACCCATAATACCCTGTGAGAAAGTGTATAAAAGTTTCCCTGCCCATTGTTTTGGGACCACTCTTTTCTACAACCACTTTGATGGTGAGAGTGACCTGAGCATATGCCTGAAAAGAATAAAACTCCTTGGATTTTCCATGTGTGCATGGTCTCTCAGTGGCATATTTGGTCCTTATATTCCAAGTACAGGAAATGTAGTGGCACCAGAAGAGTTCAAGGCCTCAGGTCTTTGGTGGCCTCAGCTCTGACCTCTATGGACAGAGAACTGAGCACCACATGGAATGAAATACAGAAGGACACAGCACAGGGGAAAGAGACCCCTTGGAAATGGCCCTCCCTGTGTCTCACCCAGTCACAGGACCAAAGAGTTCTCAGAGGGCATTCCTGATAAAATAAAGAATTTGCCTTGGTCTTTGTTTGAGCTGCAGCACCACTGGAGGGTGAAAAATAAACTATTCATCGTCTAAAGAACATAGTGATAAGCTGAGACAAAGGTTCCTGCTTAGAGCTCACAGGAGTTAATGTTTTGTTCAATGAAAGAATTCCCTACCCACTTGCAGACTTTCCCACTCACTGTGTAATACAGTGTGGCTTCCACTGTGCTCACCTGAGCTCTTACCTGAGTGCACATTTTGATCAATTTCCTCTCATTTGAAATTCTTTTTTTAAATTTTTTTAAGAGACAGAGTTTTACTTGTCCCCCTTGGTAGAGTACTGTGGTGTCACAGCTCACAGCAACCTCCAACTCTTGGGCTTAGGCAAGCCTGAATGG